TACGGCGACCATTATTATCTGCAGTGAGTGAGATTGGAAATATATCGGGTTTTCTGATATCATAATTGTTATTGTTATACCTATTTTTAATCTGAATGATGATAATTCATGCAAAATTGATGACGTGCTAATCTTTTGGTGATAGTCCGATTCCAAATTTTCCTTTTACACAACAATGAGTCGATTGTTTTTCAAACATTGACAAAGGAGTGGCCTTACTTTCGTCTATTCCATTTTCACTTTGAGTTTTAGCTCAAAGGTAACAAATCGTATAGAAAACCTTTACAACCACTTGAATGTCACAAAACCCGCATCTAATTCCACCTAATCATAAGAAAAAGTTGCTTCTGTGTTTAAGATGTGCATCTAGGCCTTTGAAAATTGGCATTGAACAGTTTTTAGCCAAAGTATTGCTTCATAGAAGCATATTAATAAATTGAATACTTTAATGTCAGACGTGGGCAGTGCAGCCAAAGTGTGACACGGCTAGAACTCCGTCTGCTACAACGTAAACATTGAGCGTGACTCTCGAATTAGATTCAAGCTATTTTAGCACATGACTGCATCGTTGCCTATGTAAATATTATGTATTGCTATCCCAAATACTGTAGTTCACTTTGTTAAGGTTCAATATTGTCTGACTAGGTTTCTGCAAAAGCTTTGATGGAATTTAACCCTTTGTCAAAGATCTTAGGGTACTGAATGCAATGGACAGTTGGGAGCAAGTTGTTGCCTAAAAGGGATTTGTTTCTAAGCCTACACAGTCAGTTGTCTGTCTGTCACTGTAGCTTATAACTTCTAAAAGCTTTGTCAGTTCCAAAACCTAGATTTATGGAAGCTACAAATCCATGAATGTCTAGCTTAAGTAAAGATAAGTTCTGTACCTCTTGATCCGCTCATTTTGGCAGATGGAAATCAGAAACGAATGGAGGAGGAAGTTTTCTTCAACATTTGCCCATTGTTGATGTTATACGGAACATATTCACCAAAATCAAAGCTTATGATCATTACATCTATCAACCAGTTCTCGAGCTATTTATAAATTACTAGCGACCCGCCCCGGCTTCGCACGGGTGCAATATGTATATACATACAAACCTTCCTTAAGAATCACTCTATCTATTAAAAAAAACCGCATCAAAATCAGTTGCGTAGTTTTAAAGATTTAAGCATACATACGGACATACAGCGAAAGCGACTTTGTTTTATACTATGTATTGATGAAACTAACACCTTGTTTTGCATGTAGATAACAAAATTTAATTCACACATTCCCCTACTTAGTGTGTTCATACGAAATGTACATACTAATCGGTCTATTTTAATAACTAATCCTACTGAGTTATCTAACTTACTTACAGATTTAGTTTTTTCTTCATCAGTTAACGTCATTATTTTATTCTGATTCGTCATCATGATATTTTTAAAGTCATTGTAGGAAGCACAATGGTGCTTAACCCGAGAGGGTCCATTGATGATAATAGTCCGATCAATGTATAAAATAGGTATACTTGCCAACTTTTGGCTTAGGTTACGTTCCGCCAACGCTCCCGTCGAAAATATGGTATTTATAGACGAAGTTGTTTACAGAAAGATATATTTATTGTTACATTGTAAATTTGTAACTATTGTGGCAAATTTAGACTCTGCTGTTACGGAAAATTTTGATATCGATAATCCTATTTGTAAGAACAGGAATGAAACCATGACTTAAATCTTTCGATGAAGCGAAGTAATCACACGTAATGGTTTCTTTCAGTGTGATTCTTAGCCACAAATAAATACGTAATTAACTTTAAATAAAAAAAAAAAAACAGAAAAAGCAATAAAACTTTAGAACGTACTCAATCCTACAAATTGACCACATGACATACCCACGAGGCAATGTTTATTTATTAACTAGAAGGTTTTTTAATGTATATAAATACAATATCAATGCCAGTTATATTTAAATATAAACAAAATAACTAGGTTAAATCCACCGTAGCAACTGATAATATTATTCAACGAAATATTTTCCATTCGACCATGAAAATGGAATAACAGGAAATAGTACTGTTTTCTTTCTTGATCTTTCTATCGCTATATCTTTGTCTGCTAATCCAGTAAGAGTTTGTTAAGAATTTAAAAATATCTTAGATGATGAACTGCAATATAAGATGCGCGCTGAACCGAAAATGGGAGCTATGGACGAAACATGGGAAAATATTTTAATTACTTATCCAATTTCTATTCCATTAACAATGCTAGGAATAGATTTTGAACCTATTTCCACCAGTTACCCGAAATATCCAGAATCCGTGGGTATCGATAGCAAAAAATCTAAAACGAAAACCCAATAGTAACTAGTTTGTTTAGTTTGCACATCCATTTAATTTTCTATACCCACTATAATCCACAACAGGTAGGTAAAACCGCCAATTAATAGCGGTCGCGATTTTCTGGATCAAAGTGGGGTTTACCCCCCTCTCCCTAACATGGCTACGCCCATACATACATTTACACACACATACAAACATACATATCCACTCCCAGGCTATAACTCCATGGCCTTTTAAATAAATTAAACTCGTTACAGCTTTTATTTTTGGTTGGGAATGTTTTCAATTTTAAATCACGTCCATTTTGATAGTTTTGTGGGAATGAAACTCATGAATACACGTAGAGATGGTAAAATAGATTATAGTGAGAGAGAAGCGGCAAATTAGAATTGAAATAGAACGAGGAAGAGATTAGGTGGAACTTAAATTAAGGTAAGGAATAGTTTAAGAGAAATTAATGCTGGTGGTAAGGTAAACAAACACGTAAGAACTTATTTAATTGACAGATCTATTCATGAATTCAAATACAACGCGTAATAATAGAGGTATAATGACAATTCTATGAACACTCAAATAACCTGTTTCGTGATAAAATCATTAATTCAATTTATGAATCATACATGATATATCTAGTTACGTACCCAGTTACACCTTGTTTTTCTCTGAAACGATAAGCAAGTGAAAATATATTTTCATCTACACTCATTTTTAAAGGACATCAAAGGGCAAGCTTATTGATTCTACAGACATCTGATAGAACGCACAAATTAGAATTATAGCAGATTTCTTCTGGAAACAGTGCTAAATCACAGTTCACAGTACTATAAACACCGTGGGCGGGTCGCCATTGCCAGTAAACAAACAAGGTTAGTCGCCAACGTGTCGATATTTGACAAACACATCTGTAAGGAAACGAAGAACGAATACAAATGTATATATAATCAACTAAATACATAATCTACGGGTTTAGGCAGCTAGACTACATTTTAGTATTAGATAAATATGTCTCAAGGCATATTTTTTTTAGTATTCAATTGATTTAGTATTTCCCAGATTTGAGTAAAGCGTTTGACTCGTTCCATCAATTATAATCATTGGGTTTAGTTTTTCTTATGGAATTGGATATTCCACGTTTCTAGTAATGCTTTAGACTTTTTTATGGAATTTTATTAGCGAAATGGTATTTTATTACTTCTGATTTAGACTAGTCAATCTGCTCTGTTTTTTATTGAAGTCGTTAATGAGAATGGAACTGTCGAAAACCTCGCCTATTTGGCGGCTAGCTCGTAAATCTTGTTTAGTGGCCCAATGTTCCTTACTATCCATATCATCTAGAATCTAGATCTATAAAATAAATTCTACTTTCAAGTCTGTTTCTTTCTCATCATCGTAAGTTACTGTGTTAAAAATTGTTTAAGTAGAATTATATCGTTTTCTATTTGCAATGAGAAATGAATTCACTTTTCACGTCCAGCCAAAAAGAGGTGTGTTATAAGTCAATACATAGTTTGTTTTCTTTATCTATCTGCCCGAGTCCGTTTGTGACGTCATAGCTGTTAATGCACAGATTATTTAGATTACTTAAACACGGCGGATTTAGTGAAATGCACCGGAGAAGTAGAGTAATGACTTTCTAAGTATTCTGAATTAATTTAAAATGGTATTTTAGATTTTCTTTGTCTTAAAAAATATCCTGCATTAACTAAAAGTCACGTATGTAGGTGTTTATTTATCGTCTGCATACCGAAATCGTCTTGTTGGCTATATGTTAATATTTTATATTCATTCAAGTGTAGACTTTAGTTTTGAAAATAAAGACTTATGTCAAGTAAATCGTCATCATTTGATCCAAAATAATTAGTACAACATTCTTAGTGTTTATTATCTTGAAATTATACTCAATGTTTATTAGTAGGCTGTTCTTCCATTACAATGAACCTAATACCTAATCACGTAGAGCCTAAAGCCACTTCTGCGCAGTTATTTTAACTAGTGTCTCAATTTCTACCCTCTCCTCTCTTTCACTTCCTCATTCATCAAACTGTTCATCAAATGCTTGCCCTGCTTTGAATTTTACATTATCACCACCATCATGACTTTTTAAATCAGATTTAGAAACTTTATCCAAACAAATAAAGATAAAAACAGTAATTAAAACTTAGTTCGTATCACCATTTATGCCGTGCTAAGGTGCTAGTATAAATTATGTTAATGCTACGTGCGAAGCGTGTGCGGTTGGAAGACGCGATGACGTCAGTGCACATGTACTGAGAAGGTAAACACAAACATGATGTCAATCGTGAATCGTGACAAGTGTCGACACCAGTTTTAAGTGCAATAAAAGGCATATTTTGGGATTTTGTATTATTATTATTGTTTTTATTCTGATTCGTAAATATTTTCTCATGTTTATGAGTTGGAGTTTGGGATACAATAGGTTTTGTTTGTTTATTTTTATGCTCATGGTCCCTTTTGAAGCCTTTTCGATTGTTTTTTCGTACCTAATCCAAGTAACCAAGAAAAAGATCTGTTTATGATTCTATGAGTCGAGGTTTCTTCCGCCTGCAGTTTGGATGTCCGCAGTGTGCTTGCTTGAACGTTTAGTTGAGTTCTCAGTCGATTTCGGATTGTCAGTTAATACTTATAATAAAAGAAGTTTGAAATTGTATTTGTTTGACAATGACAAATGGTCGGTAAGTTTACTATTTATAGACTTCAGTCTAGCTACGTATCTTTTCGAGAAATATAAAATATGATGTAATGTTGAAAGACACTTATCCAATTAGACCCTGAACGATCGAAGCACGTGTATTGTGAAAAACGTTGCCGATAAAAAGATTCACATATTACTGAACAACACACAATCAATTAGAATTATTAAATCAAAAAGTATTTAAGTTATAAACGTTGATATGCCAAAGCTTCTTCATTGTGTATTTTCCTTGTGTTTTCATTGTTATTTTCACTAAACTACCTTCGCACGACTACACCAAATTCACAAGATCGTGTTAAATTAGATGTTCAATTTACTTTATCAATTAATAGCTATGGAGTTAAAGATATTGAATACCATCTAAAACCAATGGCAAATATTGGTGCCATGAAATCCAACACGAATTACAAAGCTCAAACACGAAACGTGGGTAGGAGTGGACAGCAAGGCAAACATGGCGGACTGACGTGCAAATATTTGTTGCCAGCGACAAAAATATAACACAGAAAACTTATTGAATAGTGAGGATGGCAAAGCAAGTAAAATGAAAAAATTGGTTGAGGTTTGTTAATAATGCTAGGTCTTCTAATTTGGATAGATGCTGCTATTAAAATTAATTCGTGTTTCATCTTTTAAAGTGTCTTTAATCAATGTTATTGTCGATGTTCGGTTTAAAATGGTTATGGGTAATTTTTGGCATTATTTTTTTCTTTTTAGAAGACTGGATGGTTCTTTTTATGTCAATGTTCTACCTTGATTGACGTAGACATAATCTTAACCTATGGTTGCATACGGACATTTTGAGTATTCATTATCTTAGTAGATTTTCCCTACCTAACCATTATCCTTACAACGTTTTTTTAACGTCTGCATGAACTTCTACATTTGTTTCACTTGCAATTCTCATTACAATATCATTGTTAACAGTCAGTACAAATATTATTATCTTGTCGGCAATATAAACATTAAAATATGGCTCAATGTAAAACATTTCTTTACACTGTTTGTTTTTAAACTATTGTTTTATATTGTAACTGTCATGGTGGACTTTTTGGCACTGTGGCGATGTAAACAGGATGATATGTTGTGATTCTGATTTGTGACGTCATTTTGGTAATGTGACGTCATTTTTATACCCAATATCCCTTAATAGGCTCTCAAAGACTAGACAAGGTCGATTTTTGTCTGTTTACGATTTAGCTCAAGGTTTTGCCTGTTTGATGTCTAGATTGGTCTTACCTAGATCTTTTGACTTATTGCGTAAGTGGGATCATTATCTGTGATATCTTATCCAACTATCCCTAATAGTTTTTTTACTTTTTATATTTGATGGGCCGTTTGACCAGTATCTCACTAACTATTATAAATTCGATAGTGTGTTTATTTCTTTGTGTTTCTTTCACGTCGCAGTGATAAGTTTTTAATGGCCCGACTTTTGTCTTTTTTTTACATTTTAATCTCTTTGCATTACAGAGGATAACTACTTATTCCTCTGTCACCCAAAAGCTACCTGTAAGGAATTGATTCTTTATATAACGAGATTTTATAGTTCGTAGTTTACGACTAGCCTAACGTGACATAGGTTCATTTAACCTACCTTTTATGTTTAAAATCATTCAGTGACTTTTCCCGCCCTGGGTGAGGCGAGAGAGTGTCACTGTATCAGACTCTTACTTACTAAAATCTATCCTGTTCCTACTCCTTCGAGCCGTAGCCCCAGTGACCCTACTAGGCCCCATGGGTTTTATTCTACATTGGTTTTCATTTTATCTCACCTAAGCTTGTTTTTTTAAATTATATGAGTGTATAATATTATAATAATTGTGTTTCAAGCCTGCGTCAAAACTGGTTAAGTTCATCAAAATGCCAGGCAGCTAGTGCGCATGCACCAATGTTATGTATGCAAATAAGTCGATACATCATACATATGTATTCATATTTGTTGTGTTACATGTCATTATGTACTTATAATTGTATTAATATTTATGATTTTATAGATAGGTTACATAACATCACGCCTTTTATCTCTAAAGGGGTAGGTAAAGGTGTACATTATGGCACTTAATGCCACTGTACAATGTAACACCCACTTTTCATTATTTATGTTATGAGTAATGTAATAGGGGGTGAGCCTATTGCTATATACTGGGACCTATATATACCTGCATAATTGTGCGGTTCGAACACTATTTGAATACTCCTATCATAATCAATATGCGTGTGCTCTTTTTGGCAGTCGGGTCGTAATTCTTAAATTTTTTTGTAAATTGCACATTATGATACAAACTAAAGTGTGGGAGAGCCATGCTTCGGCACAAATGGGCCGCCGACTCGGCCGGAGTAATACCACGGCCTCACAGAAAACTGACGTGAAACAACGCTTACGTTGTGTTTCGTCGTGTAAGTGAGGTTGTCGGAGGCCCAATTAATACCCCCCCCCCCTCTCCAATCTTCGGAAAAAAGTGTCTATGGGCGACGCCGATAGCTTACCATCAGGTGATCCATCTGCTTGATTACCGAATTGTCCCTAAAAAAACTACAGATTAATTAAAGCACGAGATAAAGATAAAAATTGTAGAATATAGTACAGATTTCTTTAAATCATTCAACTTTTATCATAATTTTATCGGCACTGAGACGAACTAACTACTTACCGTTTAGTTACCTGTCAATAAAGAATCTCGAAATTCTATTCTCGTATCTGAAACAAATCGCTCTTGATTAAACGAATTAATCACTCTCGACTGCTTCATTGAATAAAGCTAAAAATATTTCAACACTGATTCGGCCGCCATTAAAACTAGCGACTGTGACGTCATTGGGGCATGACGTCACAGCTCCCGGGGAAACGTGTGCATTATTGATTGCGAAGTGAAGTGTCCAGTTATGAAGTATTGGTTAGTTACCTGATCTGATGCCTGGCGTGATGTTCAGTTTAGAGTTTGTAGAGAATTTTGGTTTATGAAGTGAGATTTTCTGTTGAAAATTATCCCGTTTGGAATGTATAGAAATGTATGTGTGTTTGTTATTTCAGAGTTGTAGACTATATTTACAATTTTTCTAATTTTGTGACATTAAAAACGTGTTAACTTGACTTTTGGTGACCGACAAAAAGAATTCGTTCTTTTAATTGGAACTACCTATTTACTAACTAAACAGCATGAATATTTATATATTTACTTTTAAACTTTACAATTATCATCACGGGTAAAGCTAATACAATAAATGCAGTTACATTTAGAAGTTAGAACTTCACACAATCTTCTCCATCCAGGGCAACACTCGCATTCTTAGGAAAGTTTGACGTTCTGTATCTGAGTTTCTATGTATTAAAAAGATACCCAGAGACTATCAAGATCAAAGATAAAGATTAAACACACAATACCTAATTAAACAACCTTACTTAGACCAAGTAAAAGCTTGAGAAACAGGTTGATTAGTGATCACAATTCCATCTTGGCTTACTTAGCCTTTTCAAAAATTATGATAATTTTCTGCACCACTGACCTGGTTTCCGTAATACAAAGATAATGTCTTGTATTCTTACATACTAGGTACCGGTATTTCAATGCCTAATTAGTAGACAATTACTGGTGTTGCTAGAACTTTGTTAAACAATAGGATAATAGGTATTCATCAAAATCGAGGACACTTTCTAACGGATAGGACCGTTTTGTTTTCTGTCACGGATATAAATAGCTTAGTGTATGCTGTATGCCATTTGGACATGGATACGCTTGATTTTTGGATAGTTTCTACCATCAGCGGTGGTTTTTGAACAATTTTTGATAGATTAATCCGTTAAGTAGATAATTAATTTGTCAAAATTGTCCAATGTATTTTGTGATGGTGATTTAAGACAAACAGCTTCAAAGGAGAATGACCAAATTAGTACGGGCGCTGGACCAAAAAAAAAATTGCTGCCCCCAGGGTTGACTCTTTGTTGGTGGGTTAATACTGTTGGACTAACTATGTGTGCAAATGCGAATCAAATTCCAACCCACAGTTACAAAGTAATTCGACGTTATATAATACTGCAACAATACACTTTCGCTTGTTAAAAATGTTGTTAGAAGGATTCACTAAATAAATAGATGAATAATTAATTAAAAAAACGACATAGTTATTTTAATAATTATTTATTTTCGAACAATTTATTTTAAATGTTATTCATGACTCACTATTCTGCACAGATGGTAATATAGAATGCGTATCATAAATCATTTTCATCTATTACAATACTGTCTAAAAACTGTGCTGGATGGTCAATATTTTCGTACCGCGCATATGCCAAAAACCATACTATAGACATTACATGAGCACATGTGCCCAAAGTACGTCTGCCACTCTTACACAAACAATAATAATGATTTAAAGCCTCCAACCCAAGGTGGTCTGAGTTTACAAGTATATATATATGATAAATTCGGCTTCGGGTATGCCTAGATTGGACTTTACCTCTTAATAGCCAGAAGTTATTACCAGTTATATTATAATTATTTAAAAGATTATTCAAATCATCATTTTCTCTGTACACTTCTATTGTCTCTGTACACATTACGAGCGTGTTCACTATAATAACTCCTGGCTAGTTTTATTTGGTACGTTCCTAACGCAAACATAACAAGTTCTTTCTCAGACAACCTTGGAAATCCTCTTACATCAGGTAACTCGGCAGACATACTTTGAAACGGAATTCGCCGGCTATTAAGATTATAGTCAATGACATACTGTACGAGACAGTTTTCCATATTGACCCTATTATTAATTCTCTCCATAAAATCAGAAGCATTAACATTATCAGTGATTGGGTCGTGGAAAGCATTTGTGATGGCCGCGGCATTTCTAAAATCGTCCTGCATGTGAGGCAGAGCCCTGTTAAAATAATCTTGCCTGAAAATCTTAAAATCTCTCTTGAAGCGGCCATTTACTACTTCGTATAGGTCCACGTAACGTAATGCAAGGGTCAAACACGTAATC